ACGTTTCGAAACAGTTCGTTTCTTCCTCAGGGGCGACTAAACGGGATAATAGCTTCTTTGTCTTTCTTTGAACTGGCTATCTCTTCTTCTTCATTGTCGATTGCTGGTTGTCTTCGTTTCGCCTGCGCCGTCTTGATTGTATCTCGTAATCCATGAACATATAAACTGGGTAAGGTGCCTAGAGACCTATTGATGTTATTTGCGGTGTTTTGAATATGCCAGGATTCTATCAGCTGTCTTCTGCGTAGGTTCGTCTCAGTACCCAGAATGCTTGCATCTTCAAATCCGATACGGTGGTCATTAACTTCAAGAGATAGCCAGTTCAAAGACAGACAAAGAAGCTATTATCCCGTTTAGTCGCCCCTGAGGAAGAAACGAACTGCTTCGAAACGTTGGGACAATTTTTCGACTTTTTGGTTGGCGTATTTCTTTATTCTTTACATTTAAATTCACCCAACCAGGCAGATATCTGCCGAACATGTTTACCTTCAAGTCTTTGCTCCAAGACTTTGGGCGGGAGACAGCACAACTGGCGAAACGGTATGTCAACATAAACCGCAGCATCTCTTCATTCGAAACGCACCTGGAATTTACCAAGGCGTGCCGCGACAGGCAAGTGGTCCCTCAAAGTCTACGCCTCAAACGCCATGTTAACACACAGGAAGGCCACAAGATTGTGATGCGTGCAGAGCACCTGCTGGTAAAGGCGCGACTTCATGAATGCTACTCCACCTTGAAGAAAAAGCAGTTGGACTTGTTCTTTATACGTCGACAGCTAGAAAACCGTATTCCAGACATTTTCCCGTCATTGCAGCTGTTCGCAGAAAACTGCGCTCAGACGGTCTTACAAAAACACCGGAGGTCGCAAGTAAAGAAACTTTTGACGCTGAACAAAAGGAACGAGGCAAGACAGAAGATCGTCAATTCCGCATTTGTCACCAACCTATCTTCCAGGTCACTCTCCCCACATGAAGTTGAGGTTCTTGCAAGAGGGCACAACTACAACTTGGCCACTACACGGCTACCTCTACCCCGGATGGTCGCGGCCATAGAGGAGGGCGTCATGCACCTGGACCCTGACGTACGAGAAGGCGTCCGTATGAAAGCCATTGGCGTCCTGTCGAAGTCTACACGATATCGACCTCATAACCTTTCGAAAGAAGAATGTACAGCACTCCGAAGGCTCAAGGATGACAAAAACATTGTAATTTTGCCAGCAGACAAGGGTAACTCAACCGTCGTCCTTGACCGGGATACCTATGAAGATAAAGCCAACCAGCTTCTTGACTGCTCGGCTTACAAGAAACTCAAACGGGACCCAACATCAGCAATACAGAGAAACTTGAACAGGACCCTGGCGCTCATTTTCAAAGAACACCCGGAATCGACCTTTACCTGCGCCTCATCTGCAGAAATGGATTCGCACCGGGATTCTACGGACTCCCCAAGATTCATAAATCTGACGTTCCCCTGAGACCTGTCGTAGATTTTACAACATCACCACTCAGAGCATTATGCGACTATCTCCACCGAGTTCTATCTCCTCTCACTGGAAATACTACAACATACATACGAAACTCGTGTGAGTTCGTGGAACGCATATCACAGATAAAGGTCAGCCATGACGAGTGCCTGGTGTCATTCGACGTCATTTCCCTTTTTACGAATGTTCCCGTTCCCTTGGCCATCGCTGCAACCAAGGAAGCTCTCAAGAAAGACGAGGACCTGGACACCCGGACATGCCTCAGCAGGGATGAGCTATGTCGCCTACTTGAGTTTTGTCTCTCGAACACCTACTTCACCTTCAAGGGGGAGTTCTACCAACAGACCAGCGGAACGGCAATGGGCGCTTCCATCTCAGTCACAATGGCCAACCTGGCAATGGAAGCGATTGAGCACAAGGCGCTACAATCATTCAACCCCAAGCTTCAAATATTCCTGCGGTACGTCGACGACTGCTTCTGTATCATGCAAGCGTCAGAAGTGGACAACTTCCTGGCTCACTTGAACTCCATTGAACCAGCCATCCAATTCACGGTGGAGCACGAAATGCACGGCTGTTTACCTTTCCTTGACGTGCTAATCAAAAGACAGGGTGAGGCACTGAATTTCACAGTGTATAGGAAGCCTACGCACACGGGACGATACCTCCAATTTGATTCAAACCACCCGCTAAGTCACAAAGCGTCAGTAGTTTCGACACTTCTGATGAGGGCAAAGAATACATGTTCATCTGCAACAGACAAAAGGAAAGAGGAGCAAGCGATCACCCGTGATCTAAAAAATAATGGATACACAGGTAACTTCATTCGCCAGATCCCTCACCGTCTATAAACAGCAGTCGCTGAGACGGGCAACCTACTGGGACTGCACGTCCTAAACCGATTGCACGCATCAGCATACCCTACACAAAAGGGATAAGTGAAACACTATCCAGGAATTTCAAAAGAACACGTCACCGTGGCCCATAAACCTGTGACCACACTCGGGTGTTTTCTACCTCGGCCAAAAAGTCGTCCACCCAAGGAAAGGGCCCAGGGTGTAATTTACCAAATATCCTGCACCCAGTGCCCCGCCTCCTACCTTGGAGAAACTAAAAACTTCCAAGAACGGCTCCGTCAACACAAAAATGACGTACGCAACTTCGACCGCGAACGCAGTGCTCTGGCGGAGCACTGTGAAGTTAATGACCACCGAATCGGATTTGAAGATGCAAGCATTCTGGGTACTGAGACGAACCTACGCAGAAGACAGCTGATAGAATCCTGGCATATTCAAAACACCGCAAATAACATCAATAGGTCTCTAGGCACCTTACCCAGTTTATATGTTCATGGGTTACGAGATACAATCAAGACGGCGCAGGCGAAACGAAGACAACCAGCAATCGACAATGAAGAAGAAGAGATAGCCAGTTCAAAGAAAGACAAAGAAGCTATTATCCCGTTTAGTCGCCCCTGAGGAAGAAACGAACTGTTTCGAAACGTTGGGACAATTTTTCGACTTTTTGGTTGGCGTATTTCTTTATTCTTTACAGTAAGAATATTTTGTTTCCATGTCTGGTGCAAGCAGGACTGAACCGCTAGTTCAGTGTTTGGGAAAATTACATTGCAAGGAATCTATTAGTAGCTACACATCAGTGTGACAGCAAAAAAGTCACTGTATTTTTATTTGACGGGGGAATACTCGACTTTTTTTTTAAACATGTTATTCACTGTAGATTAAATGAGAACGGAATTCACAGTTGTTCTAAGGTTCTTTTTGGTGCTCCAAACTGAACTTTAGGGTGCTCCAAAATGACATCAGCCATTCACATCACTGTCAATGTCACGTAATCATAGAGCGGTAAAAAAAAAAAAGCGTAGCAAGCTCCGTTGAAACTTTATTATTTTTACCACCACCGATTGCAGAAATGTCCATGCATGATAAACGCCCATGGGATTAAATTGGGCTTTTAGTTGTAACGAGGGCAGAGCTTCCCAGATCAAATGAACAGTTTGAGAGTCGCACAGTATGTCCGGTATGTCGACATTATATCAATCAATCAATTAGACAAACTTTTTTCTGTGTGCTTACAAATATCATTACTGACATTATAATTTATATACATATGGGCTCATGTATGTAATCAGGCTGTATACATCACTATATATAATCCAGCATCTAACCAAAATTAAACAGCGCGCAAAAAAAAAAAAAAAAAAAGACAACAATGCGATTAACCATCAACCAACTCGCCTACATCGCAACTTTAATCCAGTATTCATTAAATGTGGCCTGAGGAGGTTTCTGAGATCGCTTAAATATGGCGATAACTCATTCTGTGGGCTCTAAGCACCTTGGAATTCCATAAAGCATAACGATTCGCGGCCGATTTCGCTATTAAAAAAGAATCAAAGATCGAACACAACGAGGTCATCTGAAACGATGAGAGGAACACTGTTCCGGCAGCTAGGACATGTGACCAATGAAAACGCGGCATTTCGTTGAGATTGCAAACGCTGTTATTACAAAATGTGTAAGCTTTTGTAGATGACAAAAGCAAATAAGAGTAATCGAAAAATGCCAATTTTTCACGGAGAGGGAGCGTAACACTGCAATAATCGCCTAAGAAAAACGCACTTTTTTTTTTTTTTTTTTTTCGGGAGTGACGTGTCTGGTTGTTAGCTCTTTAGCGCGCGCTCGCTGCAGGTTGAATCGTAGTCCGGGCTGTATGGGCAACGAGCCGCGCGCATTCGAGTTATCACTCCGGGGTTCCACCGGTCGGAAGCGCGAGGACCCTTCGCTTGCTATTGGCTGACAGTAGTCCTGGTTTCGGAACATGGTCCTCCCATCGCCGGAGATGGAATCGGTGTGTTGCGATCTTTGACTACTTTTTTTATAAGGAAATCGTGGTCGCGTATCGTCATGATTTAGGGATTTCTAGGATGCATAGAGCCAGCAGAGTGAGTCAAGCTCCGTTCACACTCTTGCAACGGAGCACGACTGAGAGAGATCAGACCGGCTTCGAAAGGCCCGTTCACACTCTTGCAACCGAGAACGACCGAGAGAGACCAGACCGGTTTTTAAGGGTTTTTAAGCTTCTTGCGACTTCTTAGGACCGGATGCGCTACAGCGGAGCTGGTGCTAAGAGATCACAAGAGGCTTAAAAACCGGTCTGGTCTCTCTCGGTCTTACTCGATCGCAAGAGTGTGAACGGGCCTTAAGTCTCTTGCGACGTCTTAGGACCGGGTGCGCTGCTGAGGAGCTGGTCCTAAGAAGTTGCAAGGGGCTAAAAACCGGTCCGGTCTCTCTCGGTCGTACTCGGTTGCATATGTGTGAACCGCGCTTTAGGCGATCTCAAAAACCTCCTCGGGGCACCTTTAAACGGTGAGCAAAAATTAGTCACTTAAACAAATATCAAGGTCAACTGTGGAGCCAGAACGATAGCAGATCATATTTTTTTTTGGAAACTTTGGACTTTCTAAAAACGAACAAACAAACAACTTAAGGGTTCTCACGTTCTCCGTGTGGGCTTGTTCATCGGGAGGATCTCGACGTGCTTCAGGAACATCCGGGACTTGAAAAAAATTTTGTCCGTCTTGTACTTGAAGGACGCCTTCTTGATGACCCCGACCCTGCTGGGCGTGGTGACCAGAAACGTGTACTTGGCGCCTGGGTACAGCTCTTCGGTCCTGTGAGTATGGCCGTGATTGCTTGTCGAAATCTCATTAACTGAGGAGAGACATTAGCCCTACGTTTCTTAAATTGTCAGTGACTTCGTACATCCTTGTTCCTCGGGGTTTTCAAGGTTCTTCCCGAAGAATCAATTAGTAATCGTAATCTGCATTCATACGTTATTACCAAAGAATTGAAATACTATTCTAATCGTGATCGGGTATGCCGAAACGCCTCACGTTCTTGAGTCCTGTACTCGAAGACCACTTTGCTTGTTGCCTCTTCTACAATTTGTATGAGGTAGGAGTAAAAAAAGGAACAGGAGATCTAGAACAAAAGTCCATGCAGCTAGCTTTGATGCGTGCATAACGTATCAAAACTGGTTACAGGTTTGATACGTAATAGACGGTTCTAAAACGTATCAAACGTGATACGTTGGACAGGCTTAAAATGAGGACGTGTGATGGCTTTGGTTTGCCGTAAGGCCGGACCTCGCAGTTCTATAGCTCGTGTGAAATTATTACTGGGAGTTAAAATCGGGAAGGATATCGTAACAGGTGGGAAAGTATATTCGTCCACAAAGAGTACATGGAAAATGATCGCAGAAGCGAAAAATAAAAAATACTAACCTGCGGTTTACCTTGACAGTCGCTTCCCCCTTGCTGCCTTCCAAGGTGAGGAAGAAATTTCCGGTGACCGGCGACGAGCGAGAGTCCTTGGACATCTGGACGTTCACGAGGTAGTGATAAGCTGTCAGAAAAAGAAAAAAAAAATGAAACAATCGAGCTTTTTTTATATAATTATATCAGGGGCGTTTGTTTTGTTGTTTGAGGTGTGATAAGTAGGGTTTCGCATTTTCGGGGTTAATTTTTTTATCAAATTCGGACGTGTTTCAAAGCACACATTGCCGAGATTTCATCCTCGTAGGTTGTCGTCGCCGCGCGCGCAAAGAATGGAAAAACCTTTTTTTTTCTTCTCCCCCCTCTTGGCGCGAGGAGCGGGAAGTCGGAACTTCCCGTCGGCCGTGCCGCGCGAAGAGAGCGAAGAGGGCAGCCCTGGCGTCCCGCCAAGAATGGTGCGAGGAAGGGAGAATCTTCGTGTCGTCTGCTTGCAAGACTTGTTTTCAAACATTACTCGCGTTATGCAAAATCCCACTTTGGCAGCATCCACAGTTGCTACGCGTAATGTTGGATGGTTTTAGAAACTTACACCGCGCATACCCCCTCACTTAACAGATCACGGAGCACTGGTGGCTCTCGTCAGTGGCATCCACGGCGCCATCCACGACGGCAATGAGAATTACCCACGTCGCAGCTCCTTCCTCGGGTACGTGACGGCGCCATTCCACCCGCACTGCCTGCAGCTATCGCTGTGGCCGAGTGGTCTAGCGCACACCAGCTCGACGCGCGTGGAGCGAAAGCTCGCGCTGCAGAACCCAGGGTTCCTGGGTTCGAGCCCCACCCCTGCCCGTTTCGATCTGGATGAGCATCGTACCGGCGTGCGGTCGTGTATCACTACTGCGTGGTGCACGTTAAAGACCCCAGGCTAGCGGCTGTACCGCACTGGCTAAATTTCTCATCTACAGCTGGGAGACTCGTCGCCCCTGTGAGGCAGACCAAGTTCTAGGCTGTATAAACACACACACAACCCAATTTTTTGTCGTTCCTTCGCACATGGTGTGAGAAAAAATACGACTTTTTTTTTCGTTTGTTTTAATCCGTGTTTTTCATCGTTTATTTTCAGTGCCAGGCAAGAAATCGGGTCTAATGTTATAAAACAACTGCATGTTCATAAATGTGTGACCCCCCCCCCCCCCCCCCCCCCCCCCGTCTTCTCTTTTCTTCCAGGGTCCATGAAACTTAAGCGCCGTTCACACATATGCAACAGAGTTAGACCGAGAGAGACCCCCAGGAAAGTAAGACAGTAAGAGCAGTGTACAGGCTCACACACAAACACACACACACACACAAAAACAAACGCATGCACGCACAAGCACACGCACACAAAAAAGCAGCATATGTTGCTGATACATTTTTTATTTTCCCAAAACAAAAGTTTTTTTTTTTTTTGTTTTTTTTAGGGGCAGTTTTAATTTTGTATTTTTCGGTATTTCTCCGATTCCGAGAAAAACACTTGGGTGTTTATTTATCGGGATTTAGCGGTAATTACCGGAAACACGGAACCCTGCTCATATGAGTCATATAACTCAGCCACTTTAGTCTTCGTGCTTTTCTGCCTTCGTAGGAAGCAGGGGCAACGTAGAAATATATCGAATACCTTCCTCTAGCTTATTATGTGCGCTGTTCTTGCTTTGCGATTGCTTCTTTGGTGTTCTTATCTGCTGATACCACAATATCATTGGCTGAGCGATAAGAAGAGGCCCGGGGACGTGCCACGGTCTGAGCCTCTTGAACCCTCGATGGCCAATCAGTGATCGGTTGTTCTCTGCAACTCCAAGACAATACATTCGACTATAATGTATAATATTGGCATTTTTATTTTTTTTCTGGAGGTAACCAGTAGATATTATCTAAGAAATCCGGTGCTTCTGCCTTCATGCAAAGCTATTGGACGAGCCAATCGCTGCGATTCGCGGCGGGTGCTTGGCGAATGACGAGGTTGAAAATATGGTTAGACCTAAAAAGAACAGTCTGTGCTGTCATTTTTTAGCCCTTCTACACTCTAAAAAATGTTTGTGCGTCTACTTTCACGCACAACACTCGGAGAGCCAATCACCGCAACTTACGGAGGCAGCTCAGCGAATGACAATGCCGAAACATATGTTTAGACCGAAAAACGCAGACTGAGTTGTGACATTACGCAATGCAAAACGTCACGCTTGCATTGCTTAACGTCACAACTCATACTGCGTTTTTTGGTCTGAACATATGTGTCGGCATCGTCATTCGCTGAGTTGCCTCCGTAAGTTGCGGCGATTGGCTCTCCGAGTGGTGTGCGTAAAAGCAGACTCACGGGCTTTTTTTAGAGTGTAGAAATAGAAAGGGGCCCTTTCACCCTGACACCATGGTCAGGCTTAATAAATTTTATCTGATTTGTTTAGCGACTACCAGTAGCACCAATGTGCACAACTTAGCGCTTCCGCATTGATGCTCTTAGGAACACTGCAGATAAGCTGTGATCTGGGAAAAGGGGCAAACAGGGGCAAACTGATGACTGAAATGAGGCCAACTTTTGGGATGAACCTTATGAGCACCAACGATCGTCCAGTAGCACCTAAAAATACCAACGTGCAGATTGTTCATTGGTGCGCTTTTAGAAACATTTCAGAGAACCTGAAATCCCTGAAAATGTGTAGTTTTTAATGCAGGTGAAACCGACTTGCAGATTGCAGATTAAGTTAACTTTCTGGGGATTTGGTGTATATCAGTCTAATCTGATACGAAATTACCGAAGAATCTGATTTAAACCGTTCGAGAAAAACACTGGTCTGTAAAATCTTGGTAACTAATCGGGTGCTCTCTGTGTATGTAGAGGGCAGATTTATATTGGGTGAAATTATTTTAACCGACGCTCGAAAGAGAATCTTTCAGTTCAAATTGAAAGTGCAATGTATCTGATTTGGGGTTACGCTGGCTACTTTCTGGGCGCGCTCAGCCAGCTAAAGCGTGCTGAGCAGCTGAAGCGCGCGCTGGCTGAGCGCGCGCTTTAGCTGCTACTAGCGGCGAGCTTCCTCGTGCCGAACCAGGGTTGGGCAGTATCGCGATAGTATTTCAGAAATACATTTCGTATCTGTATTTCTGTATCGCGATACATTTTTTTCGCCAGTATCTGTATTCCTGTATCAGAATACATTTTGAATGCTCCTTTGTATTGCAATACAATCAGGGTGAAATGTATTTCGTTACATTTCTTAAAAAATACTCCCCCCCCCCCCCCCCCCCCCCCCCGGGCCCGGAAAGAAAATCCAACGCATTTTTTCTTTTTTTACTTCTGAGGGCACCAGGGCCAAGAAGGCGCTGGGGAATTGTTACCATACGGACCAAGGTTCCTTCCGATTCTCCAAACTATTTTCCTATGCGTCCTCTTCTCCCATCTGAGAAGTGTTGCGTAGTCGGGGACTCGAACTAGGGGGCGTGCCAGGAGTGGAGTCAGAGCATCTTCTGCCGCAGGTCCTTAGGTAGGAATTTCTTGAGTTATTATTCGCTGACATCCAATGCCCGCTGCTAACCGTCTCTCTTGCCTTAGCGTATGCAGTACACCCGGCCGGCAAAGCTGAGTCACAGCCTGTTGCAACAAGAGCCTGGCGGTAGTTGACTTAAAATAGTAGGATGAGTCACGCAGTGAAGTTCAACCCATATTCGAATGCGCCTGCGACTGCGCCCGTAATATTGCACGGCGTAAGGGTACGTCATCAGCCGACGTGAAAGTAACCCGTTGCTCTGGTGATCCGAAACCCAGGAAGGAAGTCAGACGTGGCCTCGCTTTGCCGACCCAGACTTCGTACACTTGCGACTCGTCTCGAGCTCGCTATTTCTCGGAGGGCTCGCACTTGTGCCGGCAATATCAGGTCGCAATCCACGAAGTCTCTATTTGGACTATGCAAGACCAAACTTGAGAACTGCAATCCATGCGTCGGTGGCAGAGGGCCGACAGGAAAGACCTTTACAACAGGGATACCACCGTATCGTTTTTTCAACCGTAAGAGAAGGTAAGACAGGTGTTTCAGGTTGCTTGGGGTAGTCCACTATTCTCGAAAGATCCAAATGACACTGCCTGCTGGATCTTCAACGAGGTAACCTACAACGAAAGTACGTACTGTCCTTTCATACAGCAGCGTGCTAAAGTTTCATGTTCAAGGCCACACCTACAGATAAAGAATGCCAGTTCATTCCACCGTGACGTCATGTGATAAATGTTGACAGGGGCGTCCTTAGCGAACAGGGGTGTAGTGATTTAGGATGACATATAATTTATTTAGAGGTCGAAGTCTCTTCGCATCCCTCATCAGACAGACAGGATGTCAGGGAAGGGACCGCGGTCAGTCCTTGATGGAATATTTTTTTTGAGCCCACTGAAGACTCCTCGTCGTCCGAAATCACTACCTTCAAGGCAAAGTGACGAGCCTACGGTAAAGTAATTTCAGGATCAAAAACTTCAACCTCCAACTTTAAGCTCCATCTCATTTGGCGTCTCAAACAAATTTTAAAAATGTATTGCAGTATCAGTATTTCTGTATTTGTAGTCTGCCCCCCCTAAAATGTATTCCTGTATTTGTATTTCCAAATACTTTTTGCCTGTTTTTAAAATGTATTTCCGATACGTATCGCGATACACTTTTACAAATATATCTCAGTATCAGTATTTTAGCTACTATTTTAATGTATCCCAGTATTTGTATTTCCAAATACATTTTTGAGTATTTCTGCCCCACCCTGCGCCGAACGCGCCGAGCGAGCAAAAATAGCGGTGATAGCTTTTAGCGCAGAGGCGCAATGCCGAAGCTCGGGGAGCGCCGAGCGAAGGGCGTAAACACAGTAGGCCACGCACCCTCGTCCCTAGGCTCACTTCCAGGCGGTGCAGCCTTTACCGCGACCCACGCACTCCTTTGTTCGCATTTCATATTTCCCCGATAGTATTTCACCTCAAGTACTTTTTACATGTACTTCACCCAACACTGCATATGTTTGAAGCCAGCACCTTTCGAACACCGTGTCTTTTGTACGAGGTGTGAGCAGTGTGATTACGGCTTTAGGGTGTACGGTTACACGGAGGCAGTTCGTACCACAGAACGGCTCGTCAGCGTTGGTGTCCAGGAACATCCGTCTCGTCCTGGAGTTGTTCTTGAAGCGCTTCCATTGGTCTGCCCAAAAGCCCATCTGGGCGCAGCGCGAGCCGTCGCTGCCGCAGTCGGAGCAGCGTCCCTTGTGGAACATCTCGTGCGTCGAACACTCGAAGGCCAGCGACGAGCACTGCTTGTTCGTGATGGACTCGATGACGTAGTCGATGGCACGCTGGTGGTGGCAGATCCCCATGGCGCGGACAATCTCGTTCACGGTACAACGTTGTTTTGAGTGTTTATTTTGGAAGCGTAAGGATTTCTGTTTTAAGCGTCAACTTCATTGTCCCTCTTCAGGGGAGAGGGTGGGAAAAAAAAGAAAAAGGTAGATAGTTGTTGCCAGTTGAACCTTCTCTACACTGAACACTTTCTGTGACCTTCTGAAAGACACTAAGTGGAGCGCAAGTTTGTCTGCTTCTTTTGCGGGGGTTCTGGTGACGTCAGAACGCCGAGCTCTGATTGGCTGTGATTGAAGGAAAGTGAGTAGACTTTAAAGGAAGCTACCTTGAAATCTATCCACTATCGTTCAATCAGAGCCAATCAGAGCACAGCGTTCTGAAGCCACCACAACCCCTGTAAAGGAAGCAGACGAACTTGCGCTCCGTATAGTCACTGACAAGGTCCCGTGCACTTCGAGCGTGCGCGTGCAGTCAAAGCACGACGGAAGGTGTGTAGCGGTTGCTGGAGTGAAGGTTCCATTGTGCGCCAATCCATTTTCGCTGCGCCATCCTGCTCTCAAGCGCAAATGTAACGCCAAAACTAGCAAAAAAAAAAGTTTTTTTTACGCTATATCTCTTGAAGTACTCTTCTTTACTGGTCATAGTGGTTTACCGTGCTGTGTTCGTTTCGATCATTCTGAACCAGGGTTAAGCAGAAATACTCAAAAATGTATTTGGAAATACAAATACTGGGATACATTAAAATAGTAGCTAAAATACTGATACTGAAATATATCTGTAAAAATGTATCGCGATACGTATCGGGAATACATTTTAAATACAGGCAAAAAGTATTTGGAAATACAAATACAGGAATACATTTTAGGGAAGGCAGAAATACAAATACAGAAATACTGATACTGCGATATATCTTTCACATTTGTTTGAGACGTCAACTGAGATGAAGTTTGAAGTGGAAGTTTTCGATCCTGACATTACTTTCCTGTAGGCTTGGCACTTTGCCTTGGAGGTATAGTGGTTTCGGACGACAAGGAGTCTTCAATGGGCCCAAAGAAAACGTTCCATCAAGGGCTGACCGCGGTCCCTTCCATGACATCCTGTCTGTTTGACGAGGGAATCCTGTCAACATTGATCACATGATCTCACGGTGGAATAAACTAGTATTCTTTATCTGTAGGTGTGGCCTTGAACATGAAACCTTACCACGCTGCTGTATGAAAGGACAGTACGTACTTTCGTTGTCGGTTACCTCGTTGAATATCGTGCATGCAGTGTCATTTGGAATTTTTGAGAATAGTGGACCACCTGAAGCATCTTGGAATACATGTCTTATCTTCTGTTACGGTTGAAAAAACGATACGGTAGCATCCCTGTTCTGAAGTTCCTTACTAACGACCCTCCGCCACCGACGCACGGATTGCAGTCTTCAAGTTTTGCCTGGCATTATCCAAACAGAGACCTCGTGGATTGCGAGCTGATATTGCCGGCACAGGTGCGAGCTGTCCGAGAAACAGCGGTCTCGAGACGAGTCGCGGGAGTACGTAGTCTGGGATGGCACAGCGAGGCCACTTCTGGCCTCCTTCTGGGTTTCGGATCACCAGAGCAGCGGGTCACGTTCACGTCGTCGGCTGATGACGTACCCTTGAGCCATGCAAAGTTACGGAGACTTCCTACTATTTCAAGTCAGCCACCGCCAGGCTGGTGCTGCAACGGAATGTGACTCAGCTTTGCCGGCTGGGTGTACTCTGTACGCTAAGGCGAGAGAGACGGTTAGCAGCAGGGCATTGAATGCCAGCAAACAATGACTCAAGAAATCCCTACCTAACGACCTGCGGCAGAAGATGCTCTGACTCCACTCCTGGCACGCCACCTGGTTCAAGTCCCCGACTACGCAACACTTCTCAGAAGAGAGAAGAGGACGCATAGAAAAATAGTTTGCAGAATTAAAAAGAGCCTTGGTCAGCATAGTAACAATGCCCCAGCATCTCCTTGACTCTGGTGCTCTCAGAAGTAGAAAAAAAAATGCGTTCGGACTTGTTTCTTTTTGGAATACATTTTAGCGCTCAAAAAACAGGGACAAAGAGGCGAGAAACAGACAGCACAGTGCGCTACTAACAACTGATTTTATTACGTGAAACGACACTTTTATACCATCCGAGTTTCTGATTTTGCTCCGTCACTGGCCAACCCGGTGCCAGGCCGCGTCATTGAGGAACGCACGCTCCTTTAAAAAAGAGCGTGCGTTCCTCAATGAAAGGAGCGTGCGTTCCTCAATGACGCGGCCTGGCACCGGGTTGGCCAGTGACGGAGCAAAATCAGAAACTCGGATGGTATAAAAGTGTCGTTTCACGTAATAAAATCAGTTGTTAGTAGCGCACTGTGCTGTCTGTTTCTCGCCTCTTTGTCCCTGTTTTTTGAGCGCTAAAATGTATTCCAAATTCCAAAACCAACTAGCCCAGCAATCGACTCTATTGTTTCTTTTTGTTTTTTTTCGGGGGGGGGGGGGGGGGGGGGGAGTATTTCTCAAGAAATGTAACTAAATACATTTCATCCTGATTGTATCGCGATACAAAAAATCATTCCAAATGTATTTCGATACAGGAATATAGATACTGGTGAAAAAAATGTATCGCGATACAGAAATACAGATACGAAATGTATTTCTGAAATACTATCGCGATACATTTGTATCGCGATACTGCCCAACCCTGTTCTGAACCAATGTTATGGAACCAATACCGATGAGGTCGTGTTAGCGTCAAGGCAGGCGACTCGTTTGAGGAAAACAGGCCCCAAGTGCTTAGTTTCCTCAAACGAGAATGATCACAATTTATTCCGGACTACGTAAAGAGACAATGTCCCGTTTCGTTGCATGGTCTCGTGTTGAATGATAAGCCGTAAAGCGCCAGCAGCCCGAGGGAGATCCGCGCGAGTTGGTTGTTTAAGTCGTCCGCTTCGAACACGAGGACAATTAAATGTTTTTAGTTGTTCAGAAATCATACCGTATTTGAACGAATAGGAACAACGCACAATAAAAGTCGAGTGTCTATTTCCGTTCCCCGTACCAATGCCTTCAAAACGGTTTGGGCGCGTTGCTTTGTGCAGTCAGTGCCACAGCTCTACCGGGCGGCGGAGAAAAGCTCACCGGAGAAAAGCTCACCGGAGAAAAGCTCACCGCAAAACCGGCAGATGCGGAGAAAAGCTCACCGACCTTTGGGCGAATGCAGAGAAAAGCTCGCCGATATTTTTTTTTTTTTTAAGGTTTTTCTTAGCTCAACCAGAAACAGTGCGTCTGATCTCCGAAAATGGGACATGCGTAGGCGGTTTCGTCAAAAGTATACTAAGGCATCAGTTCGTTGTTTTTATTTTGCTTTTGGCACAGTGGCGGTGAGCATTCGAAATACCGCACGGATTAAATCGCGTACACTGTGTAGTCTCGTATGAACCCCCCCCCCCCCCCCTCTCCCTCCCTTTCCCAGAAATCACGCATCCCGTTTTTTGGACATAATATTCGTAACATAAAAATGCCAAAACATCAAGCCCTCCGTCACCCGATTCGCGCCGGATATCGATCACGCGATGTGCGATGTCCGACGGGAAACACATCAACCGCATGATTTGTGATATCGGTAGACGTGTGGCAAGCGTGTTTGCCGCGGATTATCTCGTGCTTATCGCACCGTCACGCGCGAACCTGTAGCGTCCGCAATCTCTGTTATTTGTTCCCGTGACATGCAAATTCCTAACTCGTTCACGCGTTCTTTCTCTTTTTTTTTTCTTTTTGTCTGCGATTTCCGCGCGAGTTATTTGTTCCCGTGATACTCGAGTTTGTAGCGGGTTCTTGCGCGTATATCGCAATGGCGAAGCGCGAATGCGCTGCGTCCGCGTTCTGCTACCGTGCCCCGCGGGAATTCACAGCGAATTCCAGCCTACGTATCGCGCCGTGGAACGCGAATTCGCCGTGTTTGCGATCTGTGGTATCATTACTGAAAAGACAGTGAGTGTGCAGGCGAACTGGTGATAGTTAATCATGATGTTTAAAAGCCGAGTCTGTGGTGAGGGAAAAAAAAAACAAGAAACTTTGAAGTCGAAGAGTTTCTTTTTCACGTAACTTGTAGCAGAGACAAGGCCTGCCGCAAAGAACAGAGATCTTTGTGGGAAAGCCTTGTCCTCCTTTTCTTTACCTGCAACAGACTATATAGTTTTTTATAGACGTGTGAATGAAGACAATGAGACCTTACCGCCCACTAGTCCTTCGGTGACGAATTTGAAGATTCTTGACCCCACGTCGCAGCCCGGCATCTTGACACCCCCGTTGGGGTAGAAGTCCACGTGTCCCACGGTGTCGTACAAGCCCGAGACCTTCTCCCTTCACTGCGATATCACGCAAATTTATAGACGCTAGTATTAATAGACAGTAGTCCAATCTTAGCTAGTTCAAAACTCTGCAAATTAATGCCAAAGACACGGAATGCATGTAAAATGAAAGCACGTACAGATTGGCTTATGTTTGTATGAACATAAACCAGTTTTGACTTAAAACGAAAGAAACACACAAGCGGACGAAACAGACGACTCTTGTGTTAACTTTCAGGGCGCCGAAAATACACAAGGACAAGATACAAGAAAGGAGACGTGAACAAGGCGCCTTGTTCACGTCTCCTTTTTTGTATCTTGTCCTTGTGTATTTTCGGCGCCCTGAAAGTTATCATGAACCAACTAGCACAGATTGCCATTCTAAGACTCTTGTGTGTTTCTCTTGTGTGTTTCTTGTGTGTTTCTTTCGTTTTAAGTCACAACTCTTGTGTGTTTCTTTCGTTTTAAGTCAATGTAGATCACCAACACGCTCAAGTATTTAAATAAACCAGTTGATTGTCTGAAATAAAATTAAAAGAATAAAAGTTAAAAAAAAAAAAAAAAAACGCCGAGGACGTAAAGACGAATCCTTACAAACCAAAACTGTGAGTGAAAATATCGGTGTTTTTATACTTTCAAGATAATGATAATCGCAATAAAACAGGATACAGTGATTGCTATGCCTGGCTCTAAAATAAGAACACAGCATCTTTCTGCGAGAGTATTTATAAACACTGTTTGTGCTTAATTAATGCCCGATTTAAAACTAACTGATCTTCTGGTTGTTTGAAAATGTGGCATACGTGATGCGGACGCACCGAGAACATACCGCTTACGTTCATAAGAGACATTTTTTGACATTTGGCGCCATCTGGTAGCCGCTGCGCCAATCACCCGAGAGAGAGAACATGTTTATTGGAAAGATGAAGAGGTTATCCCGCGGGAATTTGCAGGATTGCTACTTCATACATGGGAAATGGAGAAAGGGGCAAAAAAGACAAAGAAAGAAAAGGAAAGAAAGAAAACTTTGAGGATGGCTGTCAGTCACTTTTGGAGGGTGTCCTACAGTATTTTATCAAGTTGAGTCGTTTGGAGAAAACGAATCAATGAGCTCGTCGGCTTGACTCCTTGCAATGTTGATGGCCATGGTCCCAGGAGATGATTGAGCGTAAGCGGTTCTCCGTTGTGAAGAGTCAGGGAGCTTATCATTTCCTTTCTTTGGTCAGCGTAGAGGGCGCAGTGACAATTAACGTGTTCCAGCGTTTCTACGACGTCACAGCTCTCGCAGATGGAGGAATCCAGCTGACCGGTGAGATTTAGATAATATTTTGTTGAGGCCACGTTGAGTCGTATTCGGTGAAGAGCGGTTTTTGTCCGACGTTTGAGCCCCCGGGGAGGGCGAAAGGTAAGAAAGGGGTCAATGTTATGAAGGTGTCTGTAGTGATATAATGGATTCTCCCAGAGGGTGTTTACTAGAGCCGCAGTAATGCGGTTGGTTGTAGCTCTGGCGTCTGAACGTGAAAATGGAATTACCAGTTTGGACGTAAGATGATGCGCATTCTTGGCTGCCAAGTCAGCACTTTCGTTGCCTCGAATACCGCAATGGCTCGGGATCCACTGTAAAATTAGTGTGTTACCATTATTTATAGCCTCTTTATGAATTTTTAGGATCTGATGTACCAGCTGAGCATTAATGTTCTTGCTTTTGGTAGATTTAAGGCTTTGAAGGGCTGCCCTTGAATCAGTAAAGAGTGACCAATTGTTTGGGGCACTCGTAGAAATAAAGTGAATTGCTTCTCTAATCGCTACTAGTTCTGCTGCCGTCGATGATGTTACATGGCCTAGCTTTCCCTGGAGTATTTTGTTTATTGATGGTATAACAAAGCCGTAGCTGGAAGTTTCACGAGTAGAAAACCCATCAGTGTACATATGAATTCGGGAACGGTGATGCGTATTAATGGTTTCTAGAGAATGTTGCCTCAATACCTCCGTTGGAGTATGTTTTCTTGAATGTATCCCTGGAACATCTAATTTTATAGAAATTACTGGATATATCCATGGTGGTAACAACGAGAACTCTGCTGGTTCAAAGTCTCGGGGAAGATCCGCGTTGTCAACATTCACGATTTGGGAAAAACCAGACGCGCTTCTGCTGTTTCCGATGTCTGCTAGGTAGTGGTCTTTGTGCCTTGTGAGGTGGCGGAGGTGCGCTCGAAGGGTTTCTTGAAGTCTCAGCGCGCCAATCGGAACAGCCCCTGCCTCAGCTACAGTTCCGACATTTGAGGTGCATCTTGGGAGCCCTAGACAGGCTCGTAGAGCTTGAGCCTGCATACCTTCCAATGCTCTTATATTTGTACGGCACATCCCATGAAGTACCGGTAGGCTGTATCGAAGGAAACCGACAAAAAGGGCGTTATATAGTTGAAGAAGGGCGGCTACAGAGGCGCCCCACTTAGTGCCACTAATGAATCGGATGAGCTGAATAATGCCGAGAAGCTTTCTTTTCATTTGTTTTATGTGCGGTGTCCATGTCAAAGACTTGTCCAGAACTATTCCGAGGAATCTGTGCGTGTTCACATATGATATGGGATGACCATCCACTGTCAGACAGTACCTATGAGTGCTCTTTCTGGTAAAAGCCATAGCAGCTGACTTTGATTGCGATAGAGATAGTCCACGGTGTTGTAAGTAGCTGGAGATGATCTCAAGTGATTTCTGTAAGCGGATTCGATTAAATCGCTGCGTAATTGATGACGTCCATATGCAGATGTCGTCCGCGTAAAGTGTAATGTTGACGCCCCGGGGAAGTTTGTTTACGAGTGAGTGAGTGAGTGAGTGATTTATTTGCACTTAAATTGGTGCGCACACGGCGGCGTGCCAGGCAAGGCAGATAGGCAAAAACCCTTACGCGCTTATGAGTGCCAGGAGGGTAATATTGAAAAGTGTAGGACTGAGAACTCCGCCTTGCGGCACGCCTCGAAACACAGTATGCTCAGTCGTTTTCCCATCTGCTGTCAGCATGTGAACTGTTCGACTATCTAAGTAGCTTAAGATCCACGCGTAGAGACGTCCTTCTATTCCTGCATAGCTTAGGGCGTCACGGATAGCCTTGTGACTTATTGAGTCAAACGCGCCTTTTATATCTAGAAATACAGCGGTAGTGATTCGCCGACACTTCCTTTGTTCTTGGATGCTAGTTGTGAAATCAATGACGTTGTCCAGGGAATTCCTCCCTCGTCTGAAGCCTGCCATACACTCAGGGTATATCTCAGATTGTTCAAGGAACCATTCTAGTCGTGTGTGAATCATTTTTTCCATCACTTTGCCGACACAAGAAGACAACGCGACTGGACGGAAAGATAATATGTCCAGAGGTGATTTACCTTGCTCAAGGATAGGTATGATGCGCGATGTTTTCCACTCCCGGGGTACCTGGCTAGTTTCCCATGAAATGTAAAGTTTTAAGAGCCTCTGTCTACCCTTGTTACCAAGATGAGCTAATGCTGAGTAAGTTATACCATCCGGTCCGGGAGAAGACGAATAGTTCAATCCGGAAAGTGCATCTTCCAGTTCACGAGCATCAAATAATTTGTCCATGTGGTTACACGCTCGGATCCGACTATGAAGTTGAACAAGTGTTACCACCGGATTCGTAACATTTTCTGTAAGTTTTTTGCAGTAGGCTTCAGCCAAAACTAGTTCCGAAACATCTTGTTTGAGTGCAAGTGCCCGGAAAGGGTGACGTTGTTGGGGTGGTGTCCGCAAGCTCCGTGCTAGGTTGTATATCTGAGGAAGAGGCCTGCGTGGATCTAAAGTTACGCAGTGAGCCCTCCAACGGCGCCTCGCCAGTTCGTCTAGGTGACGTTTTATACGTTTTTGTTGGCGTCTCGTTTTGCGCAGATCTTCAGGGTCGTGTGTTTTTCTAGTCTTTCGCTCGCATCTTCTTCGAAGCGCGCGAAGTCGTTCATATTCTGCATCGATGACAGGGTAGGTTCGAGGCAGGTTATATGTTTTCGTGGATTGCTTCACAACCTCTTAAATGCCATTAAAAAACTCTTCGTTGCTGTCGAATGAATCACACGCGTTTTCAAAGTTAATTTTAAAGAGAGGCCAATCGGTGCGCCTAATTGGATAGGATTCATTATTTGACCCAAATCCCTTGAGCAGAGTGTAAGTTGGAATATGGTCACTCCCATGGCATTCGATGTCTGTGAACCACGTAATTAAATTCGAAAACCTGCGCTAGCAAATGTCAGATCCAAGCAGCTACTCATCGTAGTTCCACGGAAAAAAGTAGGACTTCCATCGTTCAGCGAAAAGAGGCCATGCTGATGGGTAAGTGTCGCAAGTGAGGTTCCCCGTATAGTTGTCTTCACACTTCCCCATAAGGGGTGGTGGGCGTTAAAGTCGCCCGTTAGGATGTGCGGAGAAGGAGTGTTGTCAATAATAGAGTTAATACGTTGGGTGTTAAACTGAGTATTTGGCGGAATATACGCCGCGATTATGGTGAATATACGGTGATCGTTTTTGGCAGTCAACGCTACGTACTCGTTGTTAGCGTCAGGTGGAAGGGCGTGAGAAATATAGGTAAGGTCTTTCCGAACCGCGACTAGTACCCGACTTGGAGCTGTACCTCGCGTCGAGTGAAAAACCTCGTAACCGGATAGACGAAAATCACTAGCAATGTTTGATTCCGACAAGGCCATGATAGGAAATCGGTACTTATGGCAAAATTGTCGAAAGTCAGATAGTCGGCTGCGGAGACCCCTTGCATTCCATTGGAAAATGATTGCTTGTGTCCGAATTTGCTCTACTGATAACATATGTAGGCTAGGAGGGAGGTCTTGGACAGAGCATAAAGTCAATCAGAACCAAAATTGTAAGCGCTATACTTTCAGGCGCCGTGCCTTCCATACCTTGTAAAATAAATCTTTGCGGTTTTAAAAATAAATGAATAAATAGGCTGTGGTAGTACATGTATGGTGAAAATCGGTAGTTGCCTTGAAGCAAAAATGTATCGTTGAAAGCCAGAGTGTTAGCTTGTGAATCAAGAGTACGGTAACAAAATTTGTAAATAAAATTAAAAAAAAAAGTTTACGAAATTTTTGTGCATTTTCCTGTAGTCGGGGGTTCCCTGAGGTCTGTTTTTCTAGCGATTGAAGCATAACATGACCAGTGTTCGTTTCTTCGGGTGAGGCGAGAGTGGTAAAACTTCAGAGCACCCTTACAATAAAGGACTCTAACGAAAGGATCGCCTCAATCGCGTGATGGAACGTTGATGCCGGCGGAATCGTTTTCAATATTTGACGAAGTGCGGTGAATACCAGTGGTATTATGGTTTTGAAAAACGATGTAGTACCTGTTTCCCCAGCCTGGTTTGGTGCCGAGGTACGCGAATCGGAAGGCGCGTGTGAAGTGATGTCTTTGATGTTTTGTTTTTCCCAAAAAGTTGGTTTTCGTGCTTCTCTGAGTGCGGCTGTTGTAGTAGTCGCTACAGCTCCAGGATCGTCGCTTTTGTTCTCCAGGTTCTTAAGAGGAGGGTACTCCTGGGCATTTAGTGACGGCACACTACTGGTGGTGATTCTGGACGCTGGTTTGCCACCTTCAGCCGTTTCCTTGTTTGCCTGACGTTTAGCGTGCACGGCATATTTTGCCTCGCGAAAAGTGGTGTTGTGTTCTAGCCGATACCTTGTAACTTCAGTCTCTCGTACCTTGACTGGGCCCTCGGCTGAGTTAGAGGCGTGCTGTCCTTGACAGTTAACGCAGTTGGGATTGGCTTCACACGTGCCTTCGTGACGCAGTCCACATCGATAGCACAATTGAAACTCTGCTGTGCACGCAGCTGCAATATGGCCGAACTTGTAACATCTATAGCACTGCAAGGGGCGTGCTCGGTAGGGGATCACCTCAGTTCTTACAAGCCCCACTTTGACGTGTTGAGGAGCTACTTTCCCTGTGAAGGCGACTCGCACTACGGGTGACGTCTTCCCAAGTCGCTTCACCTCTGCCACGCCAACTGAGGACTGCAGATGTGTTTTAATGTCGTCTTCTGTGCAGTCAGGGTCAATGTCTCGCAGAATGCCAAAACAGTTTGAGCGATCTCTCGGCAGAAAGGCTCTGACCAGTACTGCGCATAGCTTGGACAGCTTGAGAAGCTCCGCTTTAAAGAGAGGTCGCTTCACATCAACTGCGACAATGTTCCGAGCTTTGTTAATCCGGACAACACTCACCATGCCTGGAGCAACGTTGTTCAGGTAGTCTGTAAGCTTGAGTTTGCTGAGCGACTCGACCTTGTGGTTCTCAGTCGGGATGAACAATACGGTGCATCCAACTTGTAGGTTGCCTTCATCCTTGAGAGATGAAGCATGACACCTTGGGTCCGTCTTACGTCTCTTCTTTCCCTGAGCAGTCTCGAATTCATCGTCGTCGGGCAGCATTTCGTCGTCATCGCAGGCAGACACGATTGTAGAGGAAGTGCAAGTCATTGCATCTGTTGTCGGTTCCTTGGGCGGAATTTGATAGCCGTCTTTGAAAGACGTCCCCGATTCTGCTATGTCTTGCAGGGCGGCGAGCATCAGTTGGTCTGTTGATTCAGGGTTCATTTTTGCAGGAAGCTTGACCTCCCTGAAGGGGGCCCTTCGCGAAGAGAGGTCCGATACTTCTCTGCTGTTACGTAATCGGTGGATACGAAGTGCAGGCCCGCTATTTAGCAAATATTTGGTTATATCTCAGGGGACACAAATAGAATTACCAGAAGCAGTGTCGTCGTCGTCGTCTCCTCCCAATCACCCGAGTCGGCCATTGTTTCAGGCACGTACTCCGAACATGTATTGGACACGAGTGTGACGTCAGCGTTCGGCGAGGACCCGGATCCAATCACACGCCGAGAAATGGCGACCGCCAATGTTGGTTGATGGACTTCTGAAAGTGGTCTATTGTGGATGTTTCCGACAAAGAATTCGTTATCAGAAGTCATTTGATCGTCTGCCCAGATGTTCTGCATTACGGATTGTGTAACTGTTTTAATGTAAAGCCAAGCGGTCATAAGCACCACTAAAAGGCGGTAAAAAAAAAGCGGAAGAAAAGAAAAGCGTGCTTTATGCAAATGCTTACAGACGTCAGGGAAGAACGAAGCTCCATCGGTGTGAACAATGTCGACAAAGTCGGCATCCGTCGGATCGATTCGCACTTCCTTGGGCATTTTCTCGAAGTATGGTTCAGCCGGGTCCATACCTGCGGGCGATGGAGTCTCAAAGCGCTGGTTTTCTTATCACGTTGTTTTTTAAACGAAACGATTGACACTAAGCTTATTCTTAAATTGTACAACATGACGAACGTTAAGCTAAATAAAAGGGTGACGAGGAATTAGCGAGCAGAAAAGGATGATAAAGTTTACCTTGTAAAGAGCCCCAGACCCAGAAAAAAATACTCTAAGGGTGTTACACCGACCTTGGGGTGCCGTCGATCTTAGCAGTATCCTATGAATATTTTTGTACCATCAGCAAGTTGACAAGCACCGGACACGGTTGCATATGCACATGAACCCGGTAAATACAGACCTTGTTTTTTTCTTTAATGACACACTATAATTAAACAGAGAATAACAATGCATGACAGGCACCAGTTAAACAGTCGGCGGCGATTCGTTGCAAAGAGCTAACCTCGACATTTCTGTACAGTCGACAACCACGGAATCATCTCGGAACAACTGACAAGAATGGCCCGATCGCTGAAACCTGCTATCATCACGTATTGAGACTACACGTGTCATCGCTGTGCTTGTCAAGAGCGAAGATCAACCGCCTGGCGCGCTACGTCGGTCTCGGGGCAACATCTTCTACAAAAGCGGCTCCTGGAACAGCGACCACTGCAGTCGGCGGCGATTCGTTGCAAAGAGCTAACCTCGACATTTCTGTACAGTCGACAACCACGGAATCATCTCGGAACAACTGACAAGAATGCCCCGATCGCTGAAACCTGCTATCATCACGTATTGAGACTACACGTGTCATCGCTGTGCTTGTCAAGAGCGAAGATCAACCGCCTGGCGCGCTACGTCAGTCTCGGGGCAACATCTTCTACAAAAGCGGCTCCTGGAACAGCGACCACTGCAGTCGGCGGCGATTCGTTGCAAAGAGCTAACCTCGACATTTCTGTACAGGTGAGCCCAAAGGTCACTCTGTTTTAAACTCTGCCACTTGTTCTGCCGCCGACTGCACAGTGTTTTGTTTTGTTTTCTCTTTACCGCTACTTGATTCTAACTTTTTACAAACCTATTTGTTAGATACGTTTTTTATGTCACTCATGGATTGTCTTAAATGTGCTCATCCGCTTCCCATGGATGAAAGGTTTTTGACGTGCACTAACTGTGAGAATGGGTACCACCTTGGAAAATCCTGCTCCGGCGTTTCAGAGAGTACGTTTTTGGCAATGGGTGCATCTAGAAAAGAAAGCTGGAGGTGCCTCACTTGCCGTACCGGGGAGCTTCGCTCAGGTTGCGCAGCTGGCAGTGGCGTCCCGGCACGCGCCGCCGATCAGGCGGGCAAGGTTCAACAGGAGCAAGCCACTACTGTCTCTGATCAGTTGACTTCAATCAGTACCACGCTTAATCAACTCCTTTCGTTAAAAACGAGTGTCGAAACCCTTCTGCCTCTTCCGGCTAAGGTCGACCAACTGTTGACATTAAAGCCGGTTGTGGAGGAGCTTCGCAGCACGGTCAGCGTACTTCAAACAACCGTTGACACTTTTAGCACGAATTATGATTCCGTACTTGCTCTAGCTATGACTAACCAAGAATCGGTGAAGGATCTGCAGCAAGAAATCTGCACAGTCAGGGCTTCGATGGAAGACCAGTCGCGGGAAATTTCTCGATTAAAAGAAGAGCTAAACGACACGCAACAGTACAGTCGTCGTTGCAATATGGAAATTCATGGCCTGACTTTCGTTCCTGGAGAGGACTTAATCGCAACGTTAACAGATCTGGCTCAAAATCTTGGCCTTCCATCATTTCAGTCGTCCGATATCTTAACAATGCATTGCTTACCGACAAAACGTGACACAGCCCCAATAGTTCTGATAAAATTCGCATCGGCTAACATAAAGGAAACATGGATGGCTGCATGCGGCAAATTGCGAAAGCCGAGACAAGGATGGGACCAGTCGCTGTTTTTTAATGATAACCTCACCCAAGCAAACAAAGAACTGTTCTGGTTGGCAAGAACGAAGGGAAAGGAGCACGGGTACAGATTTGTTTGGCTTAAAAACACTAAAATTTACGCGAGGAAAGATGAGGGAACTCCTGTAATACGCATAGCCGCGGTACGGGACCTCGAGAAGCTAGTGTAAAACGGGACAGTTGGCTTTTCGGTTTGCTTAGCTTATGGATTCTGAGAGTTTTCGTTCCTGTACAACCTTTGGGGAAGTTCACAAATTTTTTACTAATTGTGTGAGCAACTCCTTGTGTGTCACCCATGTTAATATACGTAGTATTCGGAAACACTGGGATCACTTTCTTGTTTTAATCTCTCCCTTTATTTCTCTTTTTGATGTTTTCATTGTTACTGAAATCAACGTTTCTTCGGAATATTTTTTAAACTTTTCAATTCCAGGATATCAAGTATTCTCTTACACTCGTCCTATGGGAAGGGGAGGGGGTATTGCAGTATTTATAAAAAAACATTTGGTCGGTGTCTGAGCTGAGCTTCTCCTTCATTCAAGCACAAGTAGTTGCATTGCGCTTAAGTACCCCTTGCTTATCACTTACCTTACTGTCAGTCTATCGCCCTCCGAGCTGTAATGAGGCTTGTTTTTAGCCGAACTTGATACAGCTCTCTCCACCCTTTCATGTGAAGAATGCGTCTGTGTAATTGGTGATATAAATATTGATATACTTCGTCCCACACTACCCTTAGTCGCCGACTATCTCGATGTTCTTTCAAAATGGGGACTAGACACTACAATTTCCAAAGCCACAAGAGAGGAGTTGTTATCTGGCAAGCTGGTCGTATCTTGTATCGACCACATAAATGTTCGGTCCCACAACTCTGAAGTTAAATCAGCAATGATAGAAACGAAACTTGCAGATCATTATTTCGTATGTTGCTCTATAACCCCGTTATCTCATTCTTTGACTACTACCAGCCCTAATAAAGAAGTCTCAATTGTTGACCGCAGGCACTTTGATAAACTGGTGACACAGCATGATTGGGACACGTTTCTACTGACAGTGTCACCTGTCGACAGTTACGAGCAGTTAGTAGCACAACTTAATCTCTTTCGCCAGGCAGCTACTCGTACTGTGAAGATTAAGCAGCGTAATGTCAACCAGAAATGGATGACTGCTGCAATACTTGCAGCAATCAAGGAAAAAGACTTGCTTTGGATGCAATCAAAACGCTCCCCCAGTTGCAACGTGCTCCGGTCAACTTTTAAACAGAGTAGGAACAAGGTGAATGCCATGATACGTCTCGCCAAACGAGTTCATTTCCGAAATAAATTTAACAACTCTCGTTTCGACCTTAAAAAAACATGGTCTCTGATCAACGACCTGAGCGATACTAAGAAGTCCTCGGCTAGTGATAATCTGTTTTTTTCGCATTTTTCTTGTGATGAGCAAAATGTTGCCAATGATTTTAGCAACTTTTTTTCCCGGGTGTCGGGCATCGCTAAACAACACCCAGACTCCTGCTCTTTGCTAACTAATGTGTTGGATTCGGCGTTCCTGCCCTTATTGTCCCAAAACGACCTAAGGTCAATTATTTTTAGCCTTAAGCCTAACAAGGCTGCGGGCATTGATGGCATCTCAATTAATGAGTTACGCAGACATTTTGACGTACTTAGGCATGTGCTCCTTTCGCTTTTGAACAACGTTATCTTAACTGGAATCATTCCGATACAAACGAAAACTGCGGTGGTTACTCCGCTGTTTAAGGGTGGTGCGCGTAAAAACATAGAAAATTATCGACCTATTTCAATTTTGCCTTGTATTAGTAACGTGTTGGAGAAACATTTGTACATTTCTATGGAAAGTTTTTTAGACAAGCACAGTATTCTTTCACCTCATCAGTATGGTTTTATTCAAGGTCGAGGGACACAGACGCTTCTAGAGGATTTTTCTGATATACTGAATTCAACTTTTGAACGGAATCAGGTTGCTTGCGCACTGTTCTTGGACGTCAGCAAAGCATTTGACAGCGTATGCCATCGACTTTTGCTAATGAAACTTTCTAAATTAGGATTTCGTGGCCCCTTTTTAGTACTCCTAGAAAACTTCCTAAGCGATCGACGACAGTGTGTTTCAATTGGGCGTTTTCAGAGCGCATTTTCGTCAATCAAAGCTGGTGTACCGCAGGGGTCAGTTTTGAGCCCATTACTGTTCAATATTTATGTTAATGACCTCCACAACGCTGTGCCAGTTTCGTTATTTCAATATGCTGACGATACGGTTATTTTATCCAGAGCTACCAATTATTTAGATGCAATCTCCTCTCTGCAAGCTGCTGCGAATAAAACTATGGACTGGTTTGCAGCTAATTTAATTATTGTTAATGCTTCGAAAACGCAGCTCATTTGTTTTCATAACCCCTTAAAGAAAGTTAGACCCAGCTATCCTTTACTGTTACATGCGTCCAATTGTTTATCGTGTGCTTGTGAGCCCATAAAATACACATCAACTGTGAAGTATCTTGGTATTTTTTTCGACGGTGATCTTTCCTGGAACTCCCACCTTGCTTATATTTGTAAGAAGATTCGTTCAGTGTCTTGTCTGATGTACAAAATTCGATACTATATGCCGTTATCAGTCCGAAAAGTTATTATACATGCTCTGGGCTACAGTGTACTTCGTTATGGCATTTCTGTGTACGGTCATTGCGCCCAACGTTGGCAAACCAGAATTAACACAATACTTCGTTCTATGTTACACAACATTTCCTATGACTTAGGCCTCGATAAAAACATTGATGTGTTCGCGACTCTATCTATGCCAAATTTTAGCTCATTATTCATTGAAACTGTCGTGCATAGACATTTCTGGGATAGCAGTTTTAAGACTCCCTACGTCCCTGCCCGTAATCTCAGACCGAAAGAGCGATATTGGACACCTCGGATTTCTACAAGATATGGTAAAAGAACCCGATTGTATTATGTTCCAGCATGCTTTAATAAACTCCCGTCGTGTGTTATTGATGCCACAACAAAGTACAAACTGAAGAAAGCGCTTAGAAACATTACTGTATAACCTCCCCCCCCCCCCCCCCCCCCCACACACACACACACACTTTGGTTGTTTTTTGGTTTCAGTTTTCGATTTCGTTTTGTTTTTTATTTTTTTATGTACTCTATTTGTGTGTGTTTCGTTTGCCGGCTGCCAGACGCTGCCAGACAAGCCCAATGAGGCTTTGGCAGGTCTGTAATTGTTTGTGTACTTTACATGCAATAAAAATTATTATTATTATTATTATTATTATTATTATTATTATTATTATTAAACAATTTAGTATAGACGACGATAGTAGAGTTAAGAATATAGAACGCCACCTGCCTGGCTTCTTGACGGGCGGTAAGAATTCTACAGTACAAGACGAATCACGAACCTGTTGATTGCTCCACCGCCGTATATACCTGACAATTGAAATGTATATCATTCGCATGCGACCGTCTACGCAATTACAAATGTTATAAGTGCGTTACTTGTCGTCAAAATGTCTCATAAGTCATGAATTCTAGAGGGCCAAAAATGTATCTCCAAGACCAAAGCGTCGGTATACGCAATGCTTACTAAATATATTCGCTAAAACGACCCCTCTAAAGCTGTTTGAAAGGGTTGAAAGGTCGGTCGTCTGCACCCTTTTCCGCGGCAGCATGTTTTTTCATAACTTTTTACACCCTTCAGAAATAAACTGTGTTTTATGCAATGGCATTGTATTTGATGTTAAGATAGTGTGTATTACTCGAAATAAGGGTGCACAAAGATCCTTGGGTCTAAAGGTGTAGGTCTCTGAAATATAATGTTTGCACCCTTAAGGTTGTGAAAAATTGAGTGTGTAAGGGTCTTGTACAATATAGTAATAATCACCTATCTGTCTGTATCTTAAGTCTAAAAGTAGACACTTCTTTCATCCTGTACCCTTTCCCATCTAAGTCTCAGCATTAATGACATCATCGTTTAGTTTCAGAAATGTCTGCCTGTTGAGCCATTGTGTCGCCTTTGATGTTTTTCCTTGGCGCGTTCCAGCTTTATTTATGTAGCAGTAATAATTTTGTTGTACCCTCTATTGATAAACCTTACTGGCTACAGATAGCACATATATGTCTTACCGGTGATCCTGCCGAGCCGTTTCAACCTCTCGCCGGCATAACCAGCCGCGTGGCTTCCGAGGCTGTGTCCCAAGATGTGAAAAGTCCGTGGATCCGCGCCGAAAACTGTCTGCGAGATAAAAATTTCTGAGTCGACGCTAGAGAACCTTAGAGAGAGAAAATAAATGAGGCTAGTGGAGAGATTGGAAAGAAATAAAGTCAGTAGAGGTGATGGGGCCTTAATTTCGCTAGTCTACAAAGTCGACATTATCGGCAGACTTTCAAAAGGACACGACATTTTCTCGATTATGAACTTATCTCCGAAGCAAAGAGACATAGATATAGGAAAGTATCGTACGCGGGCAAGCATCGGTTGTTTAAACGAACTGCGTTTTCTTTTTTTTCTTCTTCTTTTTTTAAAGCTTCGCTCACTTTAATCTAAGATTAAGGCAACATCACGGAGCTACGACCGACTTATACGATTAAGAAATCGTAGTTTTGTTGAAATTTGGACGAGTTGGTTAAGCATTCGGAAACTAAACTTTTTGTCTTTTTTCCATCTTTACGCTGTTTCTAGTTTCTTGAGCTTGAGATAAATAAATGCGAAAATAAATTCCCGGAGCTAGTAATCCCACTAATAGCTGAAACGGAAACTGAAGCGGTTCTGTATTTAAGAAAAAACACCTAAATCATCTTCATTTGACCTCCAGTATCACAAATATTGATGTCATTTTTGAAATTGGTGCACGGAAACTGCAGAAATTAATTTTTAAAATACCGCCGAAGCCCCTCCTTCCCCGGGCGTGACGTCATACTAGGAGTTTTTGGAATCCCTGCTCTCGCGCCTCTTCAGCACCTACCAAAGCTGTGCACGCGCACTCTTGCTATTTTCAGAAAGGTCAGATATAGACGTCACGACTGGCGTCAGTACAGAAAAATATACTGGCAAGCTCGCAACAGCTCGCGCTGACTACACGAGCGACACTCGCTTGGTGGCCCAAAGATCCTTGTATGGCGTCCCGACTGGTCGGAGCTTTTTCGTGTTTTCTCGCGTTCAGATACATCTTCGGGGAAAACGAACCTGGTATTCAGATTCACCGGATAAAAATACGCCAAAATTCATCTCTAAATCAGTTTTTCTCAAGAAATGTTTCACCTATCCTTTAAGAAACGCAGAGTGGTAAGTCCCGAACAGTTTATTATCACTCTGCCGACAATGAGACACTGGCCTTTCTCGATAAGAATGTTGATAAGACAAAGCAAGAAGCGTGTATATAACAAGCCAGGTGATTATCCCAATCGTTCGTTGGGACACACCTCCAGCTTCTCGATCATTAGACTTATCTCGGCTCCGACGAGCCGAGTGTTAGCAGTGGCTTGCGTGTAAGGAAGGCCGTTTCCTCCTCTCCAGTCCACGATGATCACGTTGTAATCTCCGACCAGCAGGAACGCTGTCTTCATGTCCTGGGGCAAAAATAAAATGTCGATTCATACGAAGATCGTGCTTCAGTTCTTACCAGAGCAAGAAAACGACGGTGACGTCTCTACGGGGTGGTGCCCAAACGCGCGCCTCGGACAGGTGCCTCTACCGCGTGCTCAAATGAGGTCCCTCGATTTCTACCTGGTGATGTCATTAAAAGTGTCATGCTGCTGCTTGTCGCGATCCTGGTGGCGGTATATATAAGCGGCGGAGGCGGATGCGACACACGTCTGTTCTACAGAGATCGCTCTGCAGTTACACAGTCCACGAAAACCAAACCAGATACGAGTTGGGGCGCCGCCGCGATGACAGCGACCCTCGAGTCCGCTCGCTTTTCGTGCTATCACTTCTAGGACCAGCCACCAGGATCGCGACATCCGACAGCATGGCAGCTCCTGTGACGTTGTTTGTCACCGCTACGGGCCCAATTTCGATTAACGGGCGGGATGGACCGTAAACGCGTTTGTCGAAGACGCGTTCTATAGGCTCCGTACTACGGTTCCTGTTCCTGAAACGCGTCTTCGACTGGCGTGTTTACTGCGTCCCATCTCGCCCATGCGTCGAAAACGGTCCCGAGGTGGCAACAAATTGCGTCACAAGGTGCAGGCGTATCAAGCTGTGGGACGTCGCGCTCCTGGTGGTTGGTCGTAGAAATGCTGGTGCAGAATGTGAGCGGACGTAAGGGTCGCTGTCGTCGCGGCGGGCGTCCCAACTCCTGCCTGCTGGAGCTTCCGTGGCATGGCGCCAACAGTCGTTTCGGTCACCCTCGGGGACTCGCGGGGCCCCGAGGGTGACCAGAGCGGCTGTTGGCGCCAAGTCTGCCCCCCTTTTCGTCCAATAGCGTCCTTTGGGTACGATCATCGTTAGGGGTGTGTCCCTCCGCGCTTCTGGCTTCACCTCTGGTGGCCTCATGTCGCCTCCAGAAGCTTCCTACCTCCATGTTCCGCGGACTCTCAAGCTGGACTGCGACTTGCAATAGAACACGCGTCTGACGCATTGACATCCACTACTGTGCCGCCGCTAGGGTCGCGGCAGACAACAGCGGGCCGCTTCTAAGATGTCATAAAGGGGAATCAAGGGTCACCTTTTGAGTACATCAAGGTACTTCAAGTAAAGTACAAAGCAAATGAGACGTGATGTACTTTAAGTGAGGTATGAAGTACACTGGATGCAACGTACTTGAAGTAAAGTACTATAAATGCAATGTACTTTCAAAGTAAAGTACTAGTATTTTAACGCAATCTTTGATGATGTCCTTTCATTCCCCCTATACAGTGATTTTTTAACTGGTATCATTGGTATGCAATGCCCAGGGGTACTAGGGTGCATGAATTATTTTCAAAAACAACGGCGAATATTTGATAAAGTCAAGTGGCCACAGAGTAGTTATTTTCAGGAAGGGAGCCAAATTGAGAAGTCCCTCTTCTGAATTTGGCGCTCCTTGCACTGGATTGTTGCACCCAAGTGGTTACATGTATTAGGAGAGAGCATGACGTCGGCCCCGTAGCTTCCGCAACAAATCCTCTCATAGAGGAGTGTCCTCTCCTTATGCAAGAGAGCTGGTGATAATCAATAATAATGTGACACTTGAGATTGGGATGCGAAAATATTAAGGAACTTTCAAATAGAAGGAAAAGACGAAAGAGAATCTCTCAATACATTGTGAACTTCTCCACTGTTTTTTTTTTTTTTTTTTTTGCTTCGACTTGAAATAGTAGTTTTTCCGCACCACAGTCTCAGATGCTACATTATGATTAATTTTTCTCTCCTAATACTTTAAACCTCATCGCTTGCCCTGACCGACCGAGAAGTTGTGAGAGTTTAAAAAGCTACGGGGAAGCCGCCCCCAGAACAAACTGAGCGATGCCTCGTCTCCTCACGTTTCTGATGAGAGTAGAATATCGCTCCCCGGGCATTCCTTCGGAGTTTAAAAAGAATCATTTCGTGGTACAAATTTAACAAAACCAAATTTGGGGAATGTACTTTGAAGTCGGGAATTGTACTTTCCATGGAAAGTACCAGAAAACAATACTTTAAGTACACGTAAAAACTCAGTGAATGTAGTTCAAGTAAAGTACAAGTTTCCTAAACCTACTTGAAGTAGTATTTTAAGTACAATGTACTTAAAGTAATTCCCAACACTGGAAAACACCAGATAGAGGCGCGCTTTAGGCACCATAGTACAACGGATGCTTCAACTGATCACCTCCATCCACGCTCCGAAGAAGATGGTGTCCAGCCAGCCGTGGGTGATCATCTTGGTCTCCCCGCTGGCGTTAAAGTGGGACTCCCTTATGTCCTCCGGAGGGGACTTCCAGGACAGAGGGTCCTCCTGGACCGGGTTGTTCCTCGTGAAGAGCAGGAACTGCGTGTTCACCTCGCTTCGCTCGTTTGGGAAGAAGTTTATCGGTCGGTAGACCTTGTGGTAGAAGACGCCGCCGTTCTCGAAGCAACCCAGCTCTCCGTAGCACCTCCTACTCGTACTCTTTTCTGAAGCGACTGTAGCGCGGACAAAGAAAAAGACAAGAAAGGGATTGCCTGTTTGTCGAATACCTCGTGGTTTTATCTATTGATTCTATTCCAATGGCGAGTGCACCTTTCCAGCACTTGTCATCCAGGCGAAAAATGCCGAATCGGTATGCATGCTTATAGGATGCATCCCACAGCCCGAAGGAAGCTAGCTAGATGGAAAGTTATTTATCAAATTTGATACGACAAACTTCGACTTGAATCATCACCCCACCTTCAACCGTCCTCGACACCTGTACACACTGAACATGCCTATCCCACCAAAATAACTCCTGCATTCTCTTGCGCAAATGCATTTAAATAATATTACTTTCTCAGAACCCCTAACAGAGCTACCTGCCTCCTCATATATTTACTTCAGACAATGTACTTGAATCATTCGAGCGTCTTTTGAATCTCTAACTTTTGTTTCGTGCTTTTACATTTTTTTACCTGCTTCGCTTCCTTGTTTGTTACACTGTATTATATCTAGTATTTTATATTGTTTCGTGCATCTTTTTCTTTGTGTATAAATACATATTTCCATCTATTGTTTACCTGTTTTCTTTTCCCTCCTGTGTCGCGTTATATGATATCTGATAGTCTAACTCTGCATAAACATTACACCCACTCCTGCATGGACGACACTAAAAGTCCGCTCTATCCTGTAAATGATAGGGGGGGGGGGGGGGGGGGGGAGATGGTGGCACGGCACGCAGTAGGGGAGTATTTGAATGGTCTACGGATCTTTACAAAGGCTTATCACTAGGCAAAATCTTCCGAGGGCTATGGACACATGCGCCGTGTCTGATATTTTGCAGAAGAAAGCTTGTGCGCACGCTAAGAACGCCTCCCACAGCCCAATAGTCAAAGATGGTGGCACGCAGAACCCGAAAACAAAAATTAAACATGGCTCGCAAGGATGTCGCGCGATTCTAGTCGTTTACGATCTCATTGTTGAGCTTGTTCGTTCTTAACGCGGGTGACACGATTTTTGTTGAAAGGCCGAGGCTCGCCCGAGTCGGCAAACTGCAGTGATGTGTTTGCCGCGCTATTTGTGCTTGACTGCATGGAAGTGCTTTACCATGGTGTACGATCCTGCAACGTCTCTCAAATATATGGGAAATGTTTGCCAATATATATTGCGCCGAATGTACATGTCGCCTTGTGTATACAGAAACCAAACTGTTCAGGCGTCGCCACACACGGCCGGATTGCTAGTGTTACGGTGCGCGAATTGTCATAACTTTCGGTTATTGCTTATAGTTGCGTGTGATTTGATTTGATCCTTGTGTCGTACATGACTCAGTTCTCGGAAGGTTCGTGATATTTCTCGTGGTCTGCTCTCGGGCAGTTTAAAATTAGCTTTGTTGAGTGCGCTTCTCACGGTGCACTGGTGTACTGCAGAGAAGCTACGTCCACGGGAAATAGGCGTCGCGATTTTGAGTAGTTGAATTGCTTCGCCGCAGGACACCACATGAATTTAAACATGGGATTTGCGGTGAAACGGATGAGAACGGGGAGTATGCTTGTGCTGAAAAAGTCTTTATGCCAAAATTGACTTTTAACTACAACAAAAGGGGCTCGGAAAGGACTCGACCCAACCACATCAGTGTCAACTGAGAGCAAGAAACACTCAAAAATCAGTTTCCTATATTGGGTATTTGTTTTCCTCGTTCACTCTTATTTGTTGCCTGTGCGTGCGACTAACGATTAACGAACTCCGGTCTAAATGTGTGTTTAAAATATATAAATAATGCACACTAAGCAAGCTCAGTCAGCTGCTGAATGACTGATTATTTGTTGTTGAACTATTTAAATCGCTTGCACTTTTCAACGAAAAATATATCTCCGTACTGGGAAAAAACAACATCCGATCGCTCGTTTTTCTCTAATATCGGACAGCCCACCCTTTTATCTGTACCCTCGTTTTATCTGGAAGAAATGTGCGCATGGTTATGTTGTTTCCGTCAAACAATACCCGAAGAGCCGGTGTATATGTGGAAGGGCAAGGTTTTTTTGTATCGCGGACTTTGCGACGCCAGTTGAATTATCTTTTGTTTTTATCTATGAAACTGGAACGAAACGCACAGTGAGCGTTATTTTTATTCTATGCCATTAGCGAATCACTTCGGACAGCTTTGGTGTACTTAAGATACGGAAAAACGAATCTCTAACAATGCTCTGGGAGAAAATCTGTACTGAGCAAAACCAAATTTACTGTCGGCGTATACACGGTGTATACAGGGGGCGGTAATATGGGCTCAACCAGCCCTGTTCAACTCACTCAAACAAATCTAGTGCTTCGACTTCCCTGGAATGCACTGGGTTGGAAGTATGTAGCAAGCAAGCATGCTTCGAAGACGTTTTAACGGAAGTATTTAAGGTGCTGTGCGCAACCGCGTCTCTCACCAAAGAAAACGAATAACTAAAAGGCTTTAGCTAAACGTCACGCAAGAAGACTCGACTGGACACG